ACCAGCCGCCCGAGACAGCCAGGAAATGCATAATGGGATTTGGGAATTCTCTTAGCACGGTGGTATCTATATTTTAAATTCTGGCTTTGCACGAGCTAAATGTGAGTTGTCTCTTTGATGTCCCCCAAGGCTTTCAGGGACGCCGTTCAGCATGAGGAGTGAGTGACAGCCGTGGAGGGACCCAGGAGGTCGCCTGCAGGAGGAGTGCTCATCTGGGCACTGTGTTGGGAGGGCGGGGCCGGGTACCCCCAAGGTGCTTATGGCAGCAGGTGTGCCACACACCAGAAAGCCCGACCACGCCCTGCACACTGACCCATTCACGGAGGTGTGAGTGCATGGGTATGCGTGTGTGTGCGTGTGTGTGTGCACACGGGCAGTTTGGGGAGCAGAGGGTCTCACTGCCAAGTGGCTAGAAGCTGTCTCCATGGCAGCTGTGAACAGTCAATATTTTGGCCAAAGAATGTGCCCTGCAGGGCGTCAAGCCCTCTGGGACTCAAAGGAGATGCCACAGAGTTGTGGGCATTCGCCCCGCTGTGGTGGCCACCCTGCTGCCCCTCAGGCCCAGGCAAGCAGCCGTGCGCTCGCAGCTTTGACCCTTCCTGTTCCTGCAGCTGTAACCCTCTCTGGGAGGAGACTAGCTGTCATTTTTAAAGGAGCAGGTCCCACGATGCTCGCGACTTGTCTAAGGTGCGAGGGCATCAGGCTGAGCCCTGGATCCCATTCAGGAGTGTCTGGAGCTGACTCTTGGCCTCTGGGCCTTGGCTGCCTGGACGGGGGAGGGAGCCGGAAGCCTGGCTCTGTGTGTGGGGCCGTCTGCTGTGCCCCAGGATAGCCCTGTGTCTGCAGAAGAAGGGCCCACTGCAGTCAGGCCCTTTGTCGTCTTCCTGGTCCACATCCTGCGTGACCCTCAGGCTTGGCTTGTGGACTGCCTGCTCGACTTCAGCACCAGTCTCTGTTCTCTGGGCTTTCCCGGTGGGCTGGCTTTGCCTACACTTCTCCTTAATGGTCAGACTCCTTTGGGAACCCGGACAGACCCATCGCCCTACCAAGAGAGTGGTTTACGTTCTGAATTAAACAGTGGGAGAGTGGGGGCTCCGGCTGCTCCATGTCGGAACCTGTGGCAGGGCCAGAGCATGCGGACTGTCACTCGTGGGACGTTCCTCAGAGTGTTAGAGTGGTCACCCTGACAGGCGGCTGCCTTAGGATAACCACAGGACAACCAGGTCTGAGGTCTGTTTACCTTGAGCATGTGGGCGTTAAATAAGCAGTCTTTTTTGTTTAACAGGCAGAGTTACAGAGGGAGAGGCAACAGAGAGGTCTTCCATCCACGGTTCACTCCTCAAATGGCCGTAATGGCTGGGGCTGCGCCAAGTCAAAGCCAGGAGGCTGGAACTCCATCCCGGTCCCCCATGTGGTTGGCAGGGACCCAAGCACTTGTGCCATCTTCTGTTGCTTTCCCATTAGCAGGGAGCTGGAGTGGAAGTGCAGCAGCCGGCACGCCAAGCAGTGCTAATTATGGATGGCAGTGTTGGAGGCGGCGGCTTAGCCCACCATGCCGCAACGCTGGCCCGAGTACAGGGTCCTTACAGCGACCTCACGTGTCATGTAATGGAGATCCAGTAAGAGAATGCGCAAAGTGTGGTTTTATTGGCTGTCGTTTTCGGATTAGGAGGTCTTTCTCCATGAGCGAACCAGCAGCTCAGGAGGCCTCTGAGAAGGCACAGGCCTTTACAGTGGCCCTGCAGTCCCCTTCAGGCGCCTCCGTGGGTCAGGTGGGCTCCCACCATCCAGCTGTGGCCCTTGTGTCCACAGCGACCACCCAAGAGGAGCAGTTGGGCAGACAAGTTCCAAGCCCCAGGGGCAGTGTGGGTTTCTTGGGTCACGAGCCTGGCCCGAGGCCCCGGCAGACTGCTGCGGAGCTGTTTCCCCACCTGGTAGGGGACGCGCTGCCTACCCGGGTAGCTCGGCAGCTGACTGAACGCCCGAGTCCCCGGGAGCCGCAGGGGGAGGGAGGATGTCAGAGCGGAAGCCTTGCTCACCAGGAAGACGCTCCTTTGCCCAGCGCCTTCTCCTGTGTCGTCACGGCGGCCACAAACCACAGGCAGCTTGGCTTCCTCTCTTGGAAGGCTGGGACGAGCGCGTCTTAGCCCAGGCCCTGAGACGTGGCCGGCGCAGCCGGGTGATCTGTAGACGTGGTGGCGCTGACGGCTAACCAGGCGCACCTGGAGAAGCTGTGCGGCCCCTGGGCAAGGCGGGAAAAGCGTGGATCGCAGGGTGGTGTGCTCGCCTTGCGTGGTGCTCCTCAAGGCCCTGTGGTCCTCAGGTTTACGTTCTCTGCGAGCCTGCGGTGCGGTGCGGTGCTTCTGTCCCCGTGGACCTGCCTTCCCATCTAGGATCTGGTGCTTTGCAGGTGCACCTTCTGGGGGGCTCTCTGATTCCATTCTCCACCTTCAGTTCTCTGCCTCTGGCACAGGGAGTTGTTTTTTTCCAAAACAGAAGGGAAACAGGAGGTGCACAACGTTTGCTGACTTCATGTACACGTCGTTTTCTCAGGGAGGGAGAGGAACGGGCCTTTGTGTTGAAATCCCCTTAAGTCCAGACGCGTGTGGAGGGCACCTGCAGAGATGGCGACCTGTGGGCAAGGTCACACCCTCGCGCAGCAGGTTCAGCAGTGAGGGCACCTCTGCTTTCCGCTCAAGGAGAAGCAAGGTCAGGTGTGTTATCCAGGTGGCGGCCGCCGTGCGCTGGGCTGCCCCTGCCGCAGAGGACGTGAGATGTCTCAACTCTCATCATTGGTTTTTTTAGAAAGTCAGTTACAGAGAGAGAGAGATCTTCCATCCTCTGGTTCACTTCTCAGGTGGTCAGAATGGCTGGGGCTGGCCCAGGCCGAAGCCAGGAGCCAGGAGCTTCTTCCTGGACTTCCACTTGTGTGGCAGGAGTCAAGCATTTGGGCCATCTTCTTCTGCTAGATTGAAAATGGAGCAGCTGAGACTTGAACCTGTGCCCATATGTGATGCCAGCATTGCAGGTGGCAGCTTTACCCGCATTGCCAAAACACTAACCCCAGAACTGTCACCTTTTTGATGTACTTAGATTAAGAAAAGCTGTGAGCTTTAAAAGTGGATTTCAGGAGCTGGACTTGTGGCAGAGCAGGTAAAGCCACTGCCTGTGATGCTGGCATCCCGTGCGGGCAGCAGTTCGTGTCTGGGCTGCTCCACTTCCAGTGCAGCTCCCTGCTCATGTGCCAGGGAAAGCAGCAGAAGATGGCCCAAGTCCTTGGGCCCCTGCACTCATGCGGGGGACCTGGATGAAGCTCTTGGCTCCCTCTTTCTCTATAACTCTTTCAAGAAAGTAAATAAATTTTAAAAAAATTAAAAATAAAATCAGGTTTTAATAGGCTACATTTCTTACTACTGGAAGCACTTAGTTCCATTCAGACAGTTGCTAGCAAATGACTTAGTCTCAGCCTGAGAGAGTTCAGGTTTGCACTGCCTGGTTAAGCGAGTGAGAACATTTATGAAGACAGGGAAGTTCCTGGAAGCCTGACCTGCCTTGTGGATGGGCTCCTCGGCGGGTGGCCCTGGAGTCAGGTACCTTCCCTGAGCCCGTGTTCTGGCGAGTGATTCAGGTTTACTCATTCTGTCACTGCCTTTCTTTGCATCATTTTTGGGTAAAGGGACAGGCACAAAAAATGAGGTCCACCTGGTGCTGACAGTTGCTTTCCTCCGTGCCCTGGCTGAGGGACAGTCTTTCAGGGTCTGATGGCAGAGTCATGGCTGGAGGGCAGGCAAGGTGACGCCTTCGTAGCCCTGCACTGCTCATGGGGCCGGATTTGCACCTGGCTCTGCCCTGTAGCCAGCGGTAGCATTTCTCACATAGCAGTGCAAGTCAGTGTTACCGGTCAGCACGCTGGATTTGCTTGTGCAGATCTTGCATCTGCGGGTTCACTCCCCAAATGCCCACAACAGCCAAAGCTGGGCCAGGCCAACTTCAGGTCTCGGGTCTCCCATGCAGGTGGCAGGGAGTTCTTGGGCCATCATCTGCTGCCTCCCAGGTGCACTAGCAGGGTGCTAGATGGGAAACGCACAGTGGCCGGGACTCGGGTTTGGGCACCCCAAGTGGCAGCTTCAAGGGCCTGCCACGGCGCCCACTCTTCTAAATCTGGAGTGAATTCAGATCCCGTCTGTGGAAGGAGCTCCTCGTGGGATTGGATGTGCGTCCTCATCCGTGTGCAGCATCACACAGCACAGCACGCAGCCTGGCCCTGAGCCGTCTGGCCCAGGGCGCAGCGTCAGCAGGCAGCACCTGAGCTGGGAAGCTGCTCAGGGGATGCGGGGTGCGAGTGCGCTCTCCCGAGCCACGTTCACGGCACACAGTAAGGGCCCAGGCGACAGCCAGTGCTGTACCTGTTGTGTGTAGCTCCTGGGTGCTGGGGGGCTTCATTCACGGGCAGCCGTTAGAGAGCCAGCCAGCGCCTTTCCAGAGAAGGTCCCTGACGACCCTCCAGCACTCACGGGCTCTGTTAGAGGCCACTGGAGACCGAGGGGCTTTGGGGGCATTTCCTGAAATCCCAAGCTGGCAGGGGGCTATTTGCAAATTGTGCAAACCTAGCTTTCTTGTCTTTTCAAAAAAAAAGATTTATTTATTTGAAAGTCAAAGTTAGAGGGAGAGACAGAGATGTCTTCCATCTGCTGGGTCACTCCGCATTGGCTGTACTTGGCCAGGGCTAGTTCAGACCAGGCTGAAGCTAGGAGCTTCTTCCAGGTCTCCCACATGGGTGGCAGGGGTCCAAGTATGTGGGTCGTCTTCCACTGCTTTCCCAGCTGCATTGGCAGGGAGCTGGATCAGAAGTGGAGCATCTGGGACACGAACCAGGACCCACATGGGATGCTGGCTTCACAGGGGGCGGCTTTATGCCCAGGCCTGGCTCTCACAGCTGGGTGCTCGGAGGAGAGTGACACAGCAGGGTGTTAATGGAGTTTCCCTCCCGCTGTCCACAGCAGCTGCCGGCGGATGTCCTGCGACTGAGCAAGCCCTCGTGTGACGCCATCATCATGCCTTTGGAGATGGAGCCCAAAATGGGCACGCTCGCCTTTGGGTGCCAGCGGAGCTCCGCCTCGGACGACGACTCCGGCTGCGCGCTGGAGGAGTACGCCTGGGTGCCCCCTGGCCTGCGGCCCGAGCAGGTAGGAGCCGGGCTGCCTGCACGCCTCTGCGGGCGGCTGGGAACGTTTGCTTTCTGGGGTCCCTCTGAGTTTCCCGGTGGTGGTTTTCGGTCCCTAACCCCACAGCCATGCTATGCTCCTCTGGCTATGATGTGTGGCACGTGGTTTTCTGATGAGCCCCTCTTGCGGGTGAGAGGAATCTGCCTTTTTGAAAATGCCAGTGACAGTGAAACAGCAGGAAGTGGAAAGGGGGAAGTTCCTACCCGGGTCCAGGCAGTGCACTTGGGGAGGGGGCAGAGCTGAGTCCACCTTGGGCATCACTGGGGAGGGTGCAGCGCTCTGACTGCAGGAGAGGTCACCGCACACTGGGGACTGGCGAGTGAAGGCGCACCTGGTGCTCTGCGCCGTCACCGAGGCAGATGAGGACGGTCTGCGTGCCTGTCCAGTTCTCCTGGTGTCCTCACAGCAATCGCTGGGCGCAGAGGACGCTGTCTGCTGGGCAGAGGGCGACCGCGGGCGGCAGGTGCACCTGAGTCCCAGGTCCGTTTTCTCTGATGGGGGCTCCTCTGGGTGTCCTTGTTCACGGGGGCTGGGCCCCATAGCCTGTGGTCACCGCATGTTCTTAAAAAGCTGTGGAGCTGCCCTCCGGAGACCCGTCGGGCCAGGCCCCCTCCTCATGCAGGGCTCCTCCTCGGCTGAGCTGCCAAGGGGCGCTCCGCCTCTCCTCTCCCAGCAAGCTCAGGACAGCGCCTCTCCAGTTTCCTCAGGGAGACTCGCTCCTGCGCCCTGGAAGCAAAGAAAGCTGATGCTTGAGAGGACCCGATAAGGGAGGGTCTGCAAAGCTTAACAAAGCAGGTTTTGTCTTTGTAACGTGTAAAATTCACAGAGCAAATTAAAGGGGGGGGGGGGACGGATTTCGGACAGTGTCACCCAGCCCATGTGGCCATGTGCCATCTCGCCCAGGACGCTGCTTCCCTGGCTGACCCTGGTAGGGGTACAGACGAAGAGCAGGGACGCCAGTGAGCCTGACAGCAGCCCCTGACGGTCGCCGAAGAGCGGCACAGCAGCTGCTGCCGGCCTCTGAGCGCAGTCTGCAGTCAGCTCTGCTGCTCTCAGAGCTGCAGGGGAGGACTGGGGAGACTGAGGCCGGAGCACGCACCCCCACTCACGCACGCCCCACCCTGCGCAGGTGCAGCTGTATTTCGCCTGCTTGCCGGAGGATAAGGTTCCTTATGTCAACAGTCCCGGGGAGAAACATCGCATCAAGCAGCTGTTGTACCAGCTGCCCCCGCATGACAACGAGGTGAGTGACCCGAGAGGTGCCCGGGACTCTGTAAAGGTCCCCTGATGGCTTGGAAAAGAGCAGAAACCCACGGTGGGGCCTGCGACTCCTCCCGGAACCCCGACGTCTTAGCAAGCGCCCTCTGCTGCCCTTCTCTTGTTACGTTTTGGTCCCAAGACAGATTTCGCTCCCTTAAGGGGCAGCGAGGCAGGTGTCAGTACCCGGAAGGCAGCCAGGCTGGGTCTGATGGTGTCAGCAGCCGCCCAGGGCCGACAGGAGCTGTGAGTGCATGACGACCCCCCGTGCACCCGCACCTGTGGCCAGTGCCAGCTCGGGCCGGCTGTGAGTCCAGGGCCAGTAGAACGCACAGGAAGTGGCAGCTCTCAAGGTGAAGAGTTGTTCTAGAAAGGTTGTTATTTTAGCTTTGCTCAGTGTCTCTGCTGGTAAGGCTTAAATACAGCGTTTCGGGGATGGGCCTGGTGACACGGTGAGTCCACACGGAACACCTGCCTCCTGTATCGCGGCACGGCCTCCCGTATCGCGGCACGGGTTCAAGTCCCTGCTACTCTGCTTCCATTCCAGCTCCCTGCTGACGCATCCTGGGAGGCAGCAGGTGTTGGCCCAAGTGCATGGGCTGCTGCCACCCACGTGGGAGACTTGGGTGGAATTCATAGCTCCAGGCTTCAACCTGGCCCAGGTCCCACCGTTACAGGCCCCTGGGGAGTGAACAAGTGGATGCCAGAGCTCTCTCTGCCCAAACTGAATTCCCTGTCCCCTTCTCCGGGGAGGCTGGCAGCAGGGGCCGGGGAGGCGGCTGGCAGAGCCCGCAGCTTGCCACCGGGAGCTCTGCCCTGCAAGTCAGACGTTCCGTCTTCGTTTCTCGCAGGTGCGGTACTGCCAGTCTCTCAGTGAAGAGGAGAAGAAAGAACTGCAAGTGTTCAGCGCTCAGCGGAAGAAAGAAGCCCTGGGAAGAGGGACGATCAAACTCCTGTCGCGCGCAGTGATGCACGCCGTGTGTGAGCAGGTAGCCCTGGGCGGGAGGTGACACGGATGGGTTGTTGGAGGATCTGCAGACCCCAAAAGCCTCCCCCCAGAGAGAACACCTTGCTTTTTATTGAAGAGCGACACGCGTTGACAGCGGGCTCCGCTGCTGTGTCTGACAGATGCAACCCTGCCCCCGCGGGGCCCTGCCGTGGAGGGAGGTGCCGAGACAAAAACCCAACGAAGATGCTCGGTTCTTTGCGGGCCTTTCTCAGGGTGGGAGGCGTGTGCGGCGGGAGGCTGGCCTGGGCACGCCGCTGTGGGTGTGAGCAGCAGGGCACAGGCGGGGGTTCGGCCCCTTGTAGGAAGGAGAGATCCAAGAGCAGCTCTCGTGACGGGTTCGGGAGCTGCTGGGAGGTGGGAGGCTGGGAGTCCCGGTCCCTGAAAGGGGCCCGTGCACATTCACTCCTTTCTCTTGCAGTGCGGGCTGAAGATCAGCGGGGGCGAGGTGGCCGTGTTTGCCTCCCGCGCCGGCCCTGGAGTGTGCTGGCACCCGTCCTGCTTTGTCTGCTTCACGTGTAACGAGCTGCTGGTCGACCTCATCTATTTTTATCAGGATGGAAAGATTCACTGCGGCCGGCACCACGCGGAACTGCTGAAACCGCGGTGCTCAGCATGTGACGAGGTAAACACGCTGGAAAGATAGGCTCACAGGAAACCAGCACTCCACTGTTCGCATCTAAAGCTAACACCAGCACCTCCTGGCTATCGTGGGGAGAGCCCTCCGCACTGTGGCCGTGGAGGAGCAGGCCGCTAAGAGGGCAGAGGTGTCTCTCTGCTCCGTTGGAGGGGCCGTGACAAACAGTTTGACCTTGTACCCACTCGTGTATTTCCCAAAAGCCTGCAACCGACAGGGCTGGGTTAGGCTGCAGCCAGGAGCCCAGGTCTCAATCTGGGTCACCCATGTAGGTAGCAGGGGCCCAACTCCTTGAGCCGTCACTGTGTGTTAGCAGGACGCTGGAGCCAGGACTGGGGCCCAGGGTCTTCAGTACAGGATGCAGGCCTTGCCAACAGTGCCTTAGCCACTGTGCCGAACACCCACCCGTTTCTGTAAGAGCCAGCGCGTGCCAGGGGCCTGGGAAACAGCTGAGCCTGCTTCTCTCCCCCTCCAGATCATCTTTGCCGACGAGTGCACGGAGGCCGAGGGCCGCCACTGGCACATGAAGCACTTCTGCTGCCTGGAGTGCGAGGCGGCGCTGGGCGGGCAGAGGTACATCATGAAGGACGGCCGCCCCTTCTGCTGCGGCTGCTTCGAGTCTCTGTACGCCGAGTACTGCGAGACCTGTGGGGAGCACATTGGTGAGTGCCCGCCGCCGCCGGGGTGCCCCCCAGGCACGGGGCTGCAGAGCATCTCTGTGGAGGAGTTTGGACAGAGGGCTCTGCGCTGGTTTCCCCGTTCACGTAGTTACCTCCCGTCACACTGCTGCTCCTGGGGCAGGTGCAGGGCTGCGGTTCCCGTGAGCCTCAACACTGTCACCCACGATAGGCCCGCGTCACGTGTGTTCCAGCTGAAAGCCACCGTGTGGAAGGTGTGCGGACACCTCACGGCCAGGGGCACCATTGCTTGGGCTGTGTTTTCTCTGTGAGGCACACTGCACCACACACAGCCTTGGGCTTAGGAACCAGACAGCACTACACAGGGGAGCCTCTTCTCCCGCGATTTACTTACTTGAAAGAGTGACACACAGACAGGTCTTCCATCCACTGGTTCATTCCCCATATGGCCACAATGGCCATAGCAGGGCCAGGCTGAAGCCAGGAGCTTCCTCCAGGTCTCCCATGCAGATGCAGGGGCCCCAGCACTTGGGCCATCTTGTGCTGCTTTTCCCAGGCCATAGCAGAGAGCTGGATTGGAAGTAGAGCAGCCAGGACAGAAATCGGCAACCCACGGGATGCTGGCATTGCAGGCAGCAGCTGTACCCACTGCTACGATGCCAGCCCCTGGGGAGCCTTTTACCCACAACAACACAACACTGTGCATGGCTGAGACCAAAGGCAGACACGCCAGTGTCCGACCACAGCAGGGAAGTGCATAGCAGGTGACAGAAATGCCCACTATTCTGTGCCTGCAGACGGCCAGCAGCATGTTGAGTGCATCGGTTGGGGTTTCCCATTTTAGTGAGTAGGCAAATTCACAAGAGCAGCATCCACAGGCAATAAGGGTCGTACCCGGGGACATCCACGCCCCTACAGAGGACGCTGCATCTCTCCCTCCTTCCCATCGCTTCCTTCCTCGCTGTGAAGCACTGACCTGTTGCTCCACCCTCCCCCTGACCAGGTGTGGACCACGCGCAGATGGCCTACGACGGGCAGCACTGGCACGCCACAGAGGCCTGCTTCTCCTGCGCGCACTGCAAAGCCTCGCTGTTGGGCTGCCCCTTCCTGCCCAAGCAGGGGCAGATTTACTGCTCCAAAACCTGCAGCCTGGGCGAGGACATGCACGCCTCCGACTCCTCCGACTCTGCCTTCCAGTCCGCGCGGTCCAGGGACTCCCGGCGAAGCGTCCGCATGGGCAAAAGCAGCCGCTCGGCCGACCAGTGCCGGCAGTCTCTCCTCCTGTCCCCCGCCCTGAACTACAAGTTCCCCGGCCTGGCAGGCAACCCTGACGACACCCTCTCTCGGAAACTGGATGACCTGAGTGTCTCCGGGCCGGGGGCGAGCTTTGCCGGTGAGGACTTCTGGAAAGGCAGAGTAGAGCACGGGACTGCAGAGGACCCCGAAGAATGGGCCGAGCACGAAGACTACATGACGCAGCTGCTCCTCAAGTTTGGCGACCAGAGCCTGTTCCAGCAGCAGCCCAGTGAGCTGGATGTGCGAGCCGGTGACCCCTGGATTTCGGATAACATGGTGAAATCCAAGACTGAGCTCAAGCCAGCCAGCCAGAGCCTCGCGAGCAAGAAGTACCAGCCCGACATGTACTGGGCACAGTCCCAGGATGGGCTGGGGGACTCCGCCTATGGCAGCCACCCGGGCCCCGGCAGCAGCAGGCGGCTGCAGGAGCTGGACCTGGACCATGGGGCCTCAGGGTACAGTCACGATCAGACGCAGTGGTATGAGGACTCCCTGGAGTGCCTGTCAGACCTGAAGCCAGAGCCAAGCGTGCGCGATTCCATGGACTCTCTGGCTTTGTCCAACATCACAGGTGCGTAATCTAGGCATTTTGGGGCATTTGAAAAAGGAGCTGCTAAAAAGTCCATTGAAAAACTTCTAATTTGCCACCAGAAGGGCTGTGTGTAGCCAGGGCAGGATGGTGTTTCGTTTAACCTCCAGACACTACAGCGGCACAGGCAAGTGTGGGTGAGTGTGCAGGTGTGACAAGGCGATGCGTCCCTGGTTTCTATGGACTTGGGAAAGAGCCGGCAGACGCGAGACAGGAGTGACTGTGTGCCGGGTGGTGGGGTGTTCAGAGTTCAGCACAGGCGCATTGTGGCACAAGTGCTAGTAGCAGGGGCTGAACAGCACGGCCCCTGCGCAGAACAGGGCGTGTGAGGTGAGGGCGCGTGAGGTGAGGGCGCATCGCTGCCTGGCACGGGCCGCCTTTGGGCTGTGCACAAGTTCACCTCCTTAGGGGTCAGCCTCAGGGTGGAGAACTCCAGCTGCTGTCCCCCGAAGCGGCAGGGCCTGCAGGCCAAGCACCTGCAGCGACTCCCCGCTGCCACACGGGGCGAGGCAGCCTGGCCGGTGGCGGTGGCTGTGTGGGTGCAAGGACGGACTGGTGGAAGCAGTGGGGCCTCAACAGCCTCGGGGCAGAGGACGCGGCCTCTGCTGCTCACGAGCCGTGCAGGGGCTCCGGGGCCAGCCGCCACGTTTGCTGCTGCCCGCGCCTGGAGCGCAGACTAACCGTTGGCTCGCAGACAGCTGGGTCCCCAGAGCGGTGGTGCCGCATGCTGCGCCGGCTGTCAGCCAGCCAGATGGTGACACGGGGCGTTGCTGGTGGCACTCCTGCTTCCCTGTTCCTTCTCTCCCAGGAGCCTCGGTGGATGGAGAGAGCAAGCCGAGACCGGCGCTGTACTCCCTGCAGGACCTGGAGGCAGAAGACTGTGAGAAAATGAGCAACATGGGCACACTCAACTCCTCCATGCTGCACCGGAGCGCCGAGTCCCTCAAGAGCCTGAGCTCAGAGCTGTGTGCCGACAAGATCCTGCCTGAGGAGAAGCCCGTGCACCTGCCCGTGCTCCGCCGATCCAAGTCTCAGTCCCGGCCGCAGCAGGTCAAGTTCTCGGACGACGTCATCGACCACGGCAGCTACGACCCCATTGAAATCCGGCAGCCGCCCATGAGCGAGAGGACGCGCAGACGGGTCTACCAGTTCGAAGACAGGGGGTCCCGGCCCCACCACCCGCACCGCCGCAGGAGGAGCAGGAAGTCCCGCTCCGACAACGCCCTGAACCTCGTGGCCGACAGGAGGGCTTCTCCCAAGGACAGGCTGCGGCTCTACAGCCCCGACAGCTACGAGAAATTCCTGCAGCACAGGAGCGCACGGGAGATGGGTGCCTACCTGGTGGGCGCCGAGCCCTATGGGCGCCACGCCCACGCCACGTCCGACTACGCGTTGCAGACGCCGCGGGGCGCCCGTTTCCTGGGCCTCTACGGGGATGACGACGACGACTCGTGGTGCTCGTCGTCGTCCTCGTCCTCCGATTCGGAGGAAGAAGGGTACTTCCTGGGGCAGCCGATCCCGCAGCCGCGGCCGCAGAGATACGGCTACTACACGGACGAGCTGTCCAGTCCCTCGTCTGCACTGTCCGCG